TAGATAAACAATGACAATGAAGTCCATACATTGCACATTATGCTAATTATGCTATTTAATTACTTGGATTCGAAAACTGGTGTCATAAATGAATTCCTCGTCATAGAAAACCCTAGTAAGTAGTATTATTCATGTTTTCAGGCTTCATGGATTGAGATTAGCAACATTATTATATTGCACATAAAAATATATGCTAGTTAGATGATTACGCTAATATGGCTATTAAAAAAATTGCCCAAGGTTGCCAAGCTGCATGGTAACCAAGCTGAATTTAATTCAGTACCCATCTAGAACAGAAATCAACAAAAAACCTTGTACTTATCAACTTTTCCAGGTCTGAAATATTTCTACAGGACTACCAGATAGCGAGAGAGTGGGAAAGAGGGAGGGAGACCGGACCTGACAACCCCAACAAGACGCCTATTTTTATTTGCACTAAAACAATTATTTTATTAACATCAATTTTGGTGTTGCGTATACACGGGTTGGTGTGAAGGGAGGGGGGCGGCGCGGGGGGGGGGGGGGGGGGGGGGAGGGGAGCGTGGTTCAAAAGTGCATGTGAGAATTCATGAAGCAGAAAATGTTCTACAGTTCCGTAAAGAGACACTTTATTATTTTAAAAGATTAAGTCCCTTAATTAGGCGGGTTCTAATGACTCTTAAAAGAGCGCGTGGTGAATGAGCGCCGAGAAGATTTTTCAATTTTGTAAGCATTGACGTTTAGATTTGAGAGCATGCAGAGACTAGGCCTTCTTTTTTAATTCAAGTTCCCCTTTCCCCTTCAGTTTCCTACTCTTTAGGGCGTTGAACTTTTAGGCAGCTCCCAAAGCCCCCACCACGGTGGGCACTCTCTTAATTTCTATAGGACCAAAGAATTTATTCTAAATCCAAGTGACAATTGTCACTGTCCCAAGTCCCCTTGGATTTAAATAAGTCCTAGAAATTAAGAGAGCACCATAACACAAAGGCTCACCTGCAAACATTCGTTTCAATGGCGTACTTAATGACTCATTGAAGTATTATCTAACTCAGCACTTCTAAACCTTTCAAAAAAAACTCGAGGCCCACATTGGCTGTTAATCGTTTTCGAGCCCACCTTATGAAAAGATAATGAAAAAATGTAACATTGAAAGTTGAAACGAAAAAAGAAAGATCGAATAGGTAATACCAGTGCGCCTGGAACGAACATGGGCAACCGGGAAAATTGTCAATAATAACAGTTTATCACATACACCACGGTTGAAATAACAATAACTATGCAAGGCTGGTTGTTTACCCCCCTCTTTCAGCAAAATTCCGGTGTGTAAAGTCAATACGCGGGTGGACCCTTTTCTTTTGTTGTACGAGCCTTTTTCACTCCACCCCTCCCCTTTTAAGCAAAAGTCCGGTGTGTAAAGTTAGTATATACGAAAGCTTTGCGGTTTGGGGCACTTAATTATGGTCAGATGAGCAAATTTTGATACCTCATTAATTTTTGTGACACTGGCAGGTCACTATTCCTTTTAGCTCTCCTCTTTCCCTTTCCATTCTCCCCTCTTTTATTGGCGGGGGGGGGGGGGAGAAGGGCCTTTGCCCCCTCCGATCCACAAAATGTTGGCGGGAAAATTGCAACTGATATCCCCCTTCTTTCCGTTCCTTCTTCCTCTTTATTTCCTTCCTTCTCTCTTTTCCTTTTTCTTCTTTATGCTGGGGGGGGGGGGGGGGGAGGGGAGGCAAGGCCCTTTCGACATCCCGATCTCCTTCTCCCACGCCCCCTTTTCGTTTCTTCTTTCTCTTTTTTTCTTTCCCTTTCTCTCCTCTTCCCTTTCCCTTCTTTTTCTTCTCTCTCTCTCCCTCTTTTTTGTGTTGGTTGCCTAATTACAGATCCCTAGGAAAGAATCATTTATAATTTTGAATGTTAGAAAACAGGTCTCTTAGAAAATCACTTTTCTCTGCGTATAAAAAAATATGATAATTTCGTTTACCTGTATCCAGGGTCGTAGCCAGATTTTGATGTTTGGGGGGTACATACATTGATCGACGTCCTGGGGAGGGGTCTAAAAAGTTCAACCATGATCTTGGACATTTGGGGGGGGGGGGGGGGCACGTGCCCCCCGTGCTCCCCTGACTACAGATCCCTAGGAAAGAATGTCGATAATTTGGATGTTAGAAAACAGGTCTATTAGAAAATTACTTTTCCGTGCGTCCCACTTAACTGATTTGAAATAAAAAATAATGATAATTTGTTTACCTGTATCCAGGGCCGTAGCCAGAGTTTGATGTTTGGTGGGTACATACATGTAATTTATCGACGTCCTGAGGAGGGGTCTAAACAAGTTCAACCGATATCTTGGGGCACCCCCCCCCCCCCCCCCCGTGGCTACGGGCCTGTATCAGGGAAACCTCGTCAACTTCCCGAGAGCCCTGATCATTTTTTTTAATTTTTCAAATAATAATATCGGGCAATCCTCGGGTTCGGCAAGCATACAAGCAAGAATATTTTACATTCTGACTATGTGAATACAAAGTGTATTATTTTCTAACTGCTTTTTGGCCTTTTTGGCTTACATTTTCTTAAAAACTTGTATACAAAAATGTTTATGTATTAAAGCCAAAAGCACTTTAGAAGAGCGCATCGCTGTGGAGTGGATAGGAAGGCGTGGCCTTTTGAAAGACACGCCCACACAATAATTTCTTTTTGTGCGCGCGCAGTGCAGCAGTGATACTTGGTTGAACGGTGTTATTTTTATTTAGACTGAAGCTGCTTGATGCATGCACCTGTCCTGTTGTTCATTTAATCAGTTTACATATTTTGCTTCATTGTATCTAGACTAAAGCCCGGCCACTAAAGCCCAGGTAAGATTACATTTTTTTGTTTGGCGTTCTTCTAGAAGTTCTAAAAAGTTAACCAGCGTTTTTGGCATGCATGTCCCACACATTGCTTTTCATGTTAAAATCACAAAGTGACAAACGTAGACCTACGGCCTACTCACTCACCTAGACCTAGATCTACTAGATCTATACCTAGATCTAGATGGATCCGGGCTAAATCGGACCAGGGGACAACTCGGCCCAGCTGCAAAAATGGTCATTTTTGGTCATTTTTTGTCATTTTACCCTAACTCTAA